CAGTCTCTGGAAACAAACATACATAAGAACAAACAAATGAACGAGATAGCAAAGCAAAGCATCCATTAATAACATTTGAAACACAAATGTGTGTGCTTCCCCATAAGCCCTAAATACCAATGAGAAGGGACAAAGCCTACTCCTGACACCAAAGGTGCATGGTGTCAGTTCCTGTGTGGGAGAAAACTGTCCCTTTTCTTTCTTTCTTTTGAATAATTGCTCTGCTAAAATTTGGTCACGGTGTACAGTGTTTTTTTCTAAGAATCCTCATGAGCCTTTTGCATCTTTGTTCATCAAGGATATTTGTAGTTTTCTTTTTTTTTCTTAAGTCCTTATCCAGTTTTGGTATCGGGGTGACACTGGCTTTGTAGAATGAGTTTGGAAGCAGTCTTTCCCTTTTTATTTCATAGGACTCTGAGGACCACTAATGTTAGTGCCTCTCTACAGGTCTGGTAAAATTCAACAGTAAATTTATTTTATCCTGCACTTCTCTTTGTTGGGAGTCTCTTTCTTATTGCTTCAATCTCATTGTTATTGATTTGTTTGGATTTTTATATCTTCTTGGTTCAATTTTGGTAGGCCGTATGTGTCTAGAAATTCATCCACTTCTGCTATATCTTCAATTTATTTTAATCTATTTTCAAAATAGTTTGTAATAATCCCTTAAATTTCACTGGTATCTGTTGTAATACTGGCCCTTTGTCTTTAATTTTATCAGCCTGGACCTTCTCTGTCTTTTGGTTAGTTTGGCAAAGGGTTTCTCAATCTTGTTTATCTTTTCAAAGGAACAACGCTTTGATTCACTGGTCTTTTTATTGTCCTTTTATTCTCCCATTAATTCAGTTCTTATCTTTATTATCTTGCTTTCTACTCATTTTGGGTTTGGCTTGTTGTTGTTTTTCTAGGACCTGGAGATGCATCATTAGGTTATTTACTTGAGATCATTCTGTTTTTCTAATGTGGTCAATCATAGCTATAAACTTCCCTCTTAGAACTGCTTTTATTGTGTCCCATAGATGCTGATACATTGTGAGAAACAGTACATTTAATGACTGTATGCTCAGGAAATGGAGATAAAGCATAACTCTTAAAGTAGAGGGGAAAAATAGAAAAGCATATGGAAAAATGTTCACCTCTTCTCAGTAAACGACATCAGTAGTGGTAGGATCCATACTGTTATGCTGAAACTATTGAATCAGTAATATGAGGCCAGTAAATGAGTAATTATGAAATATGATTCATAATTAAAATGAGAAATAGATTTTCTCATTTTATTATCTCCTGTGTTCTTGAGAACCAGAACCTTCGATATGAGAAAGGGCAACTATAGTTAGTACATAAAAGTTCAATTTAAAATAAGAAGGGATGGCACTGAATTCGAATGAGAATTATCATATAATTTTTGAGTTACTTTATTAAGATGCAGGGATATCTGTGTGTTTGTGTGGTGTGGGGGGAGGGGGGTAAATAATGACCAACTCAGCAGCAGTGAGCATCTCAGATTGTGATCTGAAAGTACTTTCCAGTTGAAGAAAACAAAGACATATTTTGGATGGGTGGCTGGCTTCATATACGAGATACTCCTTGTACATCTTTTTATACCAGGCGATGAGGAAACTATCAAAGACAACCAAGGCCATGTCAACGCACTCAGAAATCACTTTGAAGAGGCTCCCACTGGCTAAAGATGAGACAATTTGATCTTCAAAAAGGATCATAATTACAATTGATTGAAACCCATCAAATATAATGAAATACATTAATTCATAATAATTTTAAAAATCTAATTGGTTGCTTGTAGAAGAAACTAGGGAACCAATTACTTGTCTGGAGAACTGGTAAATAACAGAAATGCATTAAGTATGGGTCTTATCTTTCTTATATAAACCGGGCACCCCTGGGTATCCAAAGAGTGGGTGATAGGGGCTGGGGATTTAGCACAGCGGCACAGCGCCTGCCTGGCAAGCGCAAGGTCGTGAGCTCAATTCCTGGTACCAGAAAAAAAAAAAAAAAAAAGAGTGGGTGATAGAATGCATTTTTTGGTAAATTATCCCAACGGAAAAGTGCAGATGAAATTATAGCATTAGCATGCCACCTTTACTGCAACCCCTAAGGGATTCATTAGTCTGGGTGATGAGCGTGAACGGCTGCTCATGTCCTAGAGACAAGCATGGCCGATGTGCTTGCTTCCTGTGCGAGAACGCGCCACCTACAGTCTGCCTCAGGCATAGCACTGAATGCAAAAAGGCCTTTTTTGCATGCAAACGCCAATGTACAAAAATCTAGAAAACACAGACACATATTGGACTATACCACAAGGCCATGACCATCAAAATCAGGACTTGGGAAACTACAGATCAACAGTCCTGGGGTTCCTAAGAGGTAAGAGGAAAACAATAGGAATGAGGAGAGTCCTGTAGCCTAAAGAAAATTTTCTTTGCAAAATGCTTATTAAGAAAGACTAAACTTCAGCAGCCTGAAGATGCACCCAGTGAAGGCTGTGTGTTATTTCACTGCACACACAGGCACACAGACACACACGAGGCGGCGACTGCACAAGTCAGGAGAGAGGTTACTTTATCAAAAGGAAGGAGAAGGAATGGGACTGAGGCACGTGTAGACAAAGGGTGATGGGCAGAGTTTTATTTCTTTTTTTTTTTTTTTTTTTTTTTCAGAGTTTTATTTCTGAACATGGGCTGTTTACTAGGATACTCATCAAAGAATAATATAACAAACGGTACATGTATTCTGTGTAGCTTTTTTACATGTGTTTTATTTTAAAGATTTTTTAATATCCTTTTGCAAAATGCAGAATAAATGTGTGAAGCATATCTATTTGGCCTCCTTTCCGGTAAAGCCATATTTAAGTGGAGGGCCTCTTTTTGATGTGTGTCCTGGGATCGTGTCTGCAGGAACCACTGCAGTATAATCAGTTCACAAATGTTGGTTGAGCACCTACGACATGCAAGACACTTCTGCTGCCTCTGTACTTCCTGAGCTGCCTGAGCTGCACCTTCTGACCCTTGTTCTCTTTCTTAGGTTAGTTAGCAGCAGTCATTAGAAGTTTGCTCTGTGGGTTTGTTTCTGCTACTGTGGACATTTTCCTTCCGTATGGTGTTTCGTTGTATGCATTGATTGGAGCACTGTTCTGAGGAGGACAAATCCACTCAGCACAAGACAAAGTGGCCTCTGGCTCTCGTCTTAGCCACACTGACCGGCAGCCACAGCCCAGCGGTCCAGGATGCAGCCTTTGGGAGCGTGGGCAGTGGGCACTCTGCATGCTGAGAATCATCTGTCCCTGGGCTCCACTCTGATGACTCATCATCCCACCCCACCACACATCTGGGTCTCCAGTTCCTAGAAATGACAGTTTCTGAGAAGTTTATCATGGGAAACAAAACAAGAGTGTTCGAGAAATTTTACCAAGCCAAGAGCACAAAAATCAGGAGGCAACTTACTCCCTTCTACCAGATAAACCCAGGTTCTAAGCCTAAAACTAGGCAGGCACGTCAATGTTTATGCTCATCTGCAAAGCAAAGGAACCGTGGAAGTTGCAAAAGTACAAAATTCCTTTCTGACCAAAAAAGCTTTTATCTCAGTCAAGAGTAATAAATAATAAAAATGGGTGATAAACGCTGGCCAGGCGGCAGAGGCCATTCTAAATAGATTGCATGCGTTTATTTACGGAGTGCTCACCACAACCCAAACAGAAATGACCCTTGTTCAGCAGACAATGGAATGGAAGAGCAGACAGGTTAAATAACTTGCCCATGGTCCCACAGCTAGTAAAGAGCAGTTCTGGGACTCAAACTACATGGGTTGGCTCCAGAACCTGGGCTACAAGGAAACATCATACAGAAAGAAAATGTCCACAGTAGCAAAAACAAACCCTCAGAGCCCATTATGATGGGAAATTTTTTTTTTTTTTGGTCTTTTTTGAGACAGGGTCTCGTTACACAGTTCAGGCTGGCCTTGAACTCACAACAGTCCTCCTGCCTCAGCCTCCAGAGTGCTGGGATGACAGGTGTGCACCATCAGGCCCAGCTGTGATGGAAATTTTTTAAAAATTTAAAAATCAACTAGTAGTCTGACACTATATACGGACAAAATAAGATCATACAATCCACACAGAGCTCATCTGTTAGACCCAGTCAGCCTTGACTGCCTACAGAGATAACCTGACCCAGCTCACTTTGACCTCACCCAGCTGCACAGCCTGTACTTTTCAGCCCCGAAACACAGCCTGTTTGCTAACTTGTTTCAAGGACCTTCTGCTCAGCAACAAAAAAATAACTGATGCTACCCAATAAAAATCCACCAAGCTTTTCAGCCTCTGTCCTTCCTGCTTGCAAACCTGTATAAGCAAAGCCCAAACCCGGCTGGGGGCTGATGCTTTGGGAGCGATGCCCCATCAGCCCACCGGTGTAATAAAGCTGGTTGCCTCCCAACTCCTTAGTGCAGAGCGACTTCCATTCAGTTCAGTACCAGTTCTGCAACACCACAGGTTACAATACTGACACAAGTTCTTAACATCTTAGCAAGCCTCATCAATGCTAGAATAGTGAAGATGGTAGTCCCTATCTCAGCACTACCTAGCTTGTCTAATTTGCATTTGAGATAGCTTCTGCTGGCAGAAAGCATAGCCAGTTACCAAACGGCACCCCATCTGTCTCCTAAATAGTTCTTGAATTTACGGGCCCTCTCTCTCTCTCCATTGCTACCATGTTCATTCAAGCCACCAGTGCTTCTCCGCTAGGTTCCTGTAGTCTCCTCCTAACCTTTCTACCTCCAGCGCTACCCAGCAATGAAGCTGAGAGGCCAAAAGAGAACCACAAAAGAAGGCCAGGTTAGCCAAGGAAGGCACAGACACGAGCTCCAACTCTCCCCAGGAGCAAGGACTTAGGAGAGAGAGCTGGAAGCCAGCCTAACGGATCTTTACAAATCCAGAGGAAGTCCCAAGCTGCAGGAGAAGGAAGACACTGAATAAAAGCTGGATGTGTGGAAAGGGAGGCTGCCTGGGCCTGCCCTGAGGATCGAGCCCGAGGGGACAGATGTAGAGAATGCTCGTAGGCTCCCCTCCCTGGTTCCTCCGACCTCCCTGGGCTTGGGATTCCTGATTAGGGAAGCTTGGCTGGCTCCAGTCACCCTCTCCCCTGTGCTGGCCTTGCTGAGATGGGCCCCAGGCAGGCCCTAGGCGGCAGGAAAGAGACTCCTCACATGACTCGGCGGAATCCTCCTGCTCCCCCTTCCCACGCTGCATGCTCCAGACGGCGCAGCAGAAATGCAGAGGAATCGGGGCCTAGCATGGGCTAGAAGGGTCCTGCTGCTCAGCATCGTCGGGACCATGGGACCCCTGCCCTCCCCGGGAGCCTCCCTGCCTCAGCGTCTCCCAAGGGCCACAGGTAGGTGCCGCTGCGTCCACTACACCTGCTGGTGAATCCGCCACTGCCTTGTCCAGATGGAGGGGAAGTGAAACGCACCCAAGGCTCTCTTTTGCTTGTTTCCTGCTGAGTTTGCTCTGATTTTTAACATTTGCAAGGAGAGCCAACATTTGCGCTCGCTCCGGGAAGCTTTTCAAGAGAGCTCTGGAATAATTCAGATCAAGGATTAGGCGAGCCTCCAGTTTTCTTGTTTGAAACTTATCCTGCCAAAAAAAAATTTTCACCCTAAAACTCCGCCATGGTAGATGACTCTTTGCAGGGAGGCCTGAGGACAACTTGGGCTCTGAAATGAGAAAATGAAATTGTACAGTGGTTAGAAATATTTATTTACCAGAGGCGCAGTTTCTACTGGGGGTGGTAGAGGGGTGAGAATTCCCTTGTAGATATAGATATGAAAAGAGATTTAATAATTTCTTTTTAATTCTTCCATCATCAGTTTGTTTCATTAAAACCTCTCCTTCCACTGTAAAAGGCTGATTGTTTTAAGGCCTTACAAGTACATTCGCTCAGCAGTGTCTCAGACGCTTTCCCTGGGGTCTTAAAATTCCACCCAGATGCGTCCCCGGCTTAAGGAAAGGCTCCTTGTGAGTTTGCAGCGTGCGACTCCAGCAGTCTTCAAGCTGTCGCCTCCTTCTGCCCACTAGGAAATAGCACCCAGTGTGTTCTGTCTCCTTCATCCGAGTTTCCCGAAGGGTTTTTCACGCAACAGGAGCGTGCAGACGGGGGCGTCGTTATCTACTTCCTCATCATCCTTTACATGTTCCTGGCCGTGTCGATTGTCTGTGACGAGTACTTTTTGCCCTCCCTGGAAATCATCAGTGAATGTAAGTGGTCGGGGGCCCTCCTGCAGCCTTCCAAGAGTAGTTGTGTAGCACAGATGTGGCACAGATGTTTGAAACAGCTCATGTCAGTCTCAACTGGCTGCAGAGCACTGACTTCTGCGCTGGGGGCCCCACGTCTCAAGGAGCCAGCTGGGTGAGATTTCTCTCAGGAGTTACTCGGAGCTAGGACCCAGCAGATATTCGTATATATACATATTGCCAATCTCCAGAAACTTCCTGTTTGCCTACTGCCTGTTCCAGGATTTCACATTTATGTACTTGATTTGTACTCCTAATATAATGCAACTTCTGAAACTTGCCACTTGATGCTTCCAAAAATTTTACACTTTTAATCTAAGACCAGCAAAACTTTTATTTAAAGAGATAGATGATAAACAACTGTGATTACGGCCTCCCCTTCCATTTCTTCCTTTCTCAGCATCCTGCCATTAAGGAAACGAATTGATATTTAAGAGCCAATAAATAAGAAAATCCTGCATCCTCTGAAAAGTGACTCAGGCGTAGGATAATTGTAAATTCAGTTACTGAAAATTAAGTTTCGTTTCTAGTTTCTGAAAATAGGATCAGCCACTCCAAGGCTCTACGTTCTACCTCCACCAGCACACATTGCCCAGAATTTGGAGTGTAGACCGTCACTGGTGCACTGACCCCGAAAACCAGGGCATCGGTGGTGTTTTATGCCATGGAAGCAAAAGAACCAGCACTGCCAGTCTCTGCATCCTGCTTGGTGAATGGGTTCCCTGGGCTCATTTCAGAGACAAACTGAAGGACTGGGTTTTCTCTTGCATAATCCTGGGATCACCCAGAAGCAGCAGCGTCCTCAGCCACACGCACGCACACACGGACTTTTCTAGGGCGTGAATATACTCTCCCTTTTCCCACTGCCCCATCTCCCAGCCCCACTGAACTGCAGAGTAATTTTCTCCCTTGCTCACAGCTGTCCATCAGTGTCCTTCAGACCCAGTAACTGCAGAGCCGAGATAATAATAATTTACCACAGTTCTTATTTAACTTGAGTAGATGCAAATACACACATTTCTACACTGATATATTTCATGTTGATATTGATAGCTTCGATATATGTTAAATTACTTTAACATGTTTTCCACTTCATGAAAAAAAATTTTTAATGGGAGAAAATGTTAATCCCACCTGTATATTACCCCAAGATCCTCACAGTTAAAATTTGGTATACAGTATTTTTTTCAGTCTTTCAAAAACATATATATAGAGAGAGAGACAGACAGAGACACAAAAGAGAGAGAAAAAAGACAGAGACAGAAAGACACAGAGATACCCAGAGAGAGACAGAGAGAGACAGAGAGACAGAGAGGGAGGGAAAGAGGGAGAGGAAGAGAGATCGAGACCCTTGCTTTTCTTCATATAATACTTGATTATGCACTTTTCTTAACATCGTTATTCATCAAACACATGCTTTTCAAAGTCAGAATGATAGTCCATGGTTCTATAAATGATGTGAGCACCCAAAAGGGTTTTCACATATTGTAGACATCCAGTAGAAATGTATTATTTTAACCTATAGTTATGCTACGTATTTGATTTGTTTTAAAATTTTTATTTGAAATACTGTTATGCCCAAACTTGTATAAATTATGTGCACACTTCTCTGGTCATTTTCTGATTAGGAGGCAGAGTCAACATATTTTAAGCCTTGTAATTGCCAAAAAGCATTCCATGAAGGGTGTGCCAATTTAAACTTTGATATACAGCAGTCTCCACCTAAGAAAATATCACTTTTAATAGCTTTGTCAATTACTATAAACCAGAACTTCATTCTGTAAACCCTGTACTTATCTTATTTATGGGGTTGAATATTTGTACTTTTATGGAAATTTGTTTTGATTTCTGTGCTGTTTGGCCCATACTCTATTGGAGAGGAATGAAAAATCAGTATTGCTCATTGATTTTTCAAGGCTTATAATATAAAAAGATATTAACATTTTTCAATATAATTTCTATATTGTATGATTTTTCATGGTTTGCTGTTTCCTTTTGATTTTGTGTCTATCGTACTGGTTTAAATATTTTAAGTAAATTTATAAATCTCCTCTTTTATCCTTCTCCCTGTGGCTTTTAACTTAGGTCTTTTTATCACTAGGTACCAAAAGTTGTAATACTTTCCTTTTTAAATTTTTATTAGTCTGTGTTTGCAATACATAATGACTATATTCCCGGTGAGGAGTTGTCCGTGTACATAACACATCTCAATTCTTTTCACATCCCCTTCTCCCCTCCATCTCTATGATTTCTCATTGGTACATTTTAGGTATATAGAATGACCACATTCACAATAAGGGATTTTTACCTGTACATGATATAACTTGCTTCTTTTTTATTCCCATCCTTCTACCCTCCCTTCAACCCTTCCTCCCCTATTTACAAAAGATTTGTTTTCCTTCTTTTCTTTTTTTTTTTTTTACTTTTTTCTTCTTTCCTTTTCCTTTTCCTGCTCCCTCTCTTGTTCCCTCCCCATCTGAGCATTTCCTTCCTATTTCATGATACCTATTAAACATTTTGGTTCTTCTTTACATTTTCAGTTTCTCACACCACAGAAGCAATGTGGTGTTTACACGTGTGTCCACTTTATTTCACTTAAGAGTATGGTCTCAAGATGCATATTTTCTTTCCCTTATAGATTTTCACCATTTTTATTTCTTTCACTAAAATCTTGTCTTGTTATAGAATACCATTTTTCAAGCTGACCAATTTTCAAATAGTTGGTTTATACATTTGTATCTGCTTCTATTATTACAGCTCTATTCTAACAAATTTATTCTTGTGTCTGTACCACACATTTAATTATAAAAGTGTAAAAAGCTAAAAAGTTAAAAATTTTATTGTATATCATTAAGAAATTTAAATTCCACAGTATTATACACACGCTAACCCATGACTACACTGAACAAAGGCAGGAGTAAAGGAATAACCCCATCAAAAATTTTGTTTACAGAAAGTCATCTTAGAAGTGGAAAGAAAGAGAGAGAGAGACGGAAGGAAGGAAGGAAGGAAGGAAGGAAGGAAGGAAGGAAGGAA